TTAAAACATCCCTCCCACCATCCAAAAAAGAAAAGAAGGAAAAAGAAAACAAACAAAACAGAAGCCCCATCCTGCTGATGAAACCCCAGAATCGCCTGTGACTTTTGTATCTGAAAATGTTACCTTGAAATATTTGGGAATTTGGCCACAGTGCAGGGGACAGGCACTGCCCTGGTCCTGAGGCCACAGCAGGGACAATAATATATTTTTAAATTGCTTAATGCCTCAGTGCTCTGTCGACAGAGCCGCTGGTTAGCACTGGGGCTGTTCATGTTGCGCTGCTGCTCTGTGCACACGTGAATTAATGATGATTAAAACTCTGGTAACCTCTTGTAGATCAAGCATTGCCACCACCAAGGTGCTCTCTATAAAGTGCCCCTTGGCATTTCAGCCACCATTTGTCACATCAGCTCTCTGTAAGCAGCAGTGGTGCTCCTCTAGCCCAAAACACCTGAAATATGTTGGATAACTTCAGTGACTCAGCAGCTCTCTAACCCTTCAAATAGGCAGAGCAAGCAGACCTGAATTTGATCAGCTGTTCACAACAAATAATTTGAACACCTCTGTGTGTGCAGTCAAAGCAGATCATCTTAATGTGAAAATGATGGCAAGTATGGAATCACTTTAATAGGATGATGAAGAGCTGTGGGCTCCTGGGGGAAGCAGTGCAGCAGTGTGTGCACCTGCATCCATTAAAAGCAGCAAAATATAGGGAATAATGGGCTGGCTGTAACTTGCCAGCCCATCTGTGGGGCATGGGAAGAGCTGGTGGGAATTGGGGTGGACTGGGAAAAGAGAAAAATACAGTGTAAGGCAGCCTGGGATGGTGTAATGAAGCTCACACTGGATATTTGCCTCCCTCCTGAAATTATTGGAGGTTTTGGAACACACAAGCAATTTGGGTTATGGAGGAAGAAAAAGTAAAATTAGAAAGGCACAGGTAGTGATGCCTTGAGAAGGCTGCCCTAGAACAGAGGCTGGGCAGAGTTACAGAATAAAGCAGGGATTTATTAAAGGATCTCCTCCATGGATCCACCTTGGTCAGCACCAGAGCCCAGCCAGGGCTGCACCCAAATGAACCAAAATGGCCCCAAAATGCACGAGCGCTCCCGGGGGCTCTCCCTGGGGTCAGTTCTGCTCCATTGGCACCTTGGAGTTCATTGTCCCATTCCAGCTTTAGCCCAGGCAGTTCCACCCTGCTTGTTTTTCTCTCTCCAGCCCACGGTGTTTGTGCTCCTGGGCTGAGATTTGGATCATTTGTCCTTGGTGCCCAGCTGGAGCAGGAATTGTTTTGTCTCCCTGCTCTGTGCACAGAGCTCAGCATCCCCTGATATGAAGCTCAGATCCTCACACTAAAGCAGCACAGAGTCTCCAAAATAGAAAAGCTGAAACCTGAGGAATCAGCAGTACCTATGTCACCTAATCAACTCCATCTACTCTGCCCATTTTTGCCACAACAAGAGCATGCCCCAGTCCTGGAAGGAGTCTGTGAACACTGGCCAAAAAATAGAGAAAACAGCCCAAAGTAACTACCAGTTCTGAGATGATCTCACTGCCCATGTATATTCATTGTTTGCTGCTAGGCAGAAATATTCTTTCAGTACTCTTGATGCGGAAGAAGTGGAGAGTATAATTACAAAATACTAATATCTTCTATTAAATTAATTGACCAATTTTTGCTAGATAATAGATTTTATTGCCTTTGTAGTATTCCCTCGGAGGAATATGTTTGTAAAGGCCATACATATTTATAGGTGCTACCAATATAGAAGTATATAAATATGAAAAAATGCATAGATATAGATTCCTTTCCTCTTCTTTCTTTTGCATTGCAAAGAAGGGACAAATTCTGAGAAAAAATATCTGTAACAAACCAACCCAGGGTGCAATTGCTGTGTTAAGGCTACCAAGGTCACAGCAGAAGATGATGTTTTATGTGATTACCAGTGACAGCTAACAACACTAATGTGAGTTTATTGACAGGCACAATGGTAGAGATGGCCAGGAAAGTGAGGTACAGGTCCTGCAGTACACAGAAGCTGAGAAAGTGATTTCTCATCTAATAAGAGATGCTGGTCTGTCCCTCCTGGGTTGGATGTATGTCCTTGAATTACCAGGCAGCACATGGAACATCTACCTGCTGCTAAACACACCATTATTTAGGGAATGGTGTGAGTTCATCATCATTTACATTTTTCTTTAGATTCAGATACCATCTGCTGCTCTGTTTTCTTTTGCCTAATGTCACAGTCATAAGCATGTAATTACCATACTCCTACTCATTTTTTTTTCATGTTCTTATTCATTTCAAGTTTAATTTCAGTCAGTTTTTGTCCTTAGCTTTCTTAAACCCTGCAATTATTAGAAGACAGTTAATGGGATCAACAGCAACGTTTCATGCTGCAAGGATAAATTTTGAAATGGATTAAATGAGGACAGATGACAAAGCACTGAAAGCAATCTTTAGATCAGAAAAAATGGAAGGAAAAAGTAGCCGTGTACTGACTAAAAATGATGACTTTGTATGTATTAAAAACTCTAAATCTTGGGGATTTTTGTCTTAGTTGTAAAGCCAGAATTTGCAACCCTGAGAAAGTGTAGGCCTTTGTAAATATTAATGGAGGAAAGTGCAACCCTGGCTCTACTCTTCTGCCCAAGTGCAGAAAAAAACTCAGCATGGATCAGTTCTGAGCCAATTTTGCTGTTTGTCTCTGGGTTATTCTGCAGCTTAAGGGGGGTTGTAAAGGGAGGGAGAGGGACATTGCATACAGGCAGCTGGTGACAGGACAAGGGCAATGCCACCCTGCCAGGGAATAATTCCTAATTCCCAATATCCCATCTAAACCTACCCACTTTCATCTTAAAGCCATTCCCTGTGTCCTGTCCCTCCATCCCTTGTCCCCAGTCCCTCTCCAACTCTCCTGGAGCCACTTCAGGCCCTGGAAGGGCTCTGAGCTCTCCCTGGAGCTTCTCCTCTCCAGGTGAGCACCCCCAGCTCTCCCAACCTGCTCCATATCAAAGGTGCTCCATCCCTCTGATCAAAATGGATATTTCTGTGATGTTTGCACAGCATATTCCAGCACACCCATTGGAAAACAGTCTGTGCAACCCCACGAGGAGATGTAATATCAGTTTAGGTCAGCTGCTTGTCACCAAATGTCCCAGAGGCCACTGAATGGCTCCCAACTTTTTCCCTTCAGAGGTCTCATGGGTCCCTGGTGCTGTGCTGAGATTTGCTCTGCTGCTCCAGTGTCAGGGACCACAGTGGCTCAGGGACACACCTGAGCTCTTTATTTTGTGTTGGGACTCCTGCAGCTCTGGCTGGGCTCCTCTTCTGCACTGCACATGCTACTAAGTACAAAGGATTCAAGTAGATATTGGCATTGTTGGAGGTGCTGGGAACGTGCCCACTCTCTTGCTGGCATTGCAGCTGCTTTCCTCCCAAAGCCAGGCCAGCAGAAGTTGGCATGAGGCTTTTAACTTGCTCCTACCATGATGCTGGTAAAAGAAAAAAAAGTTATATAATGGTGTGGATGGTTTGAAACTACATTTCCTTGCATTTTCCAGGGTAATTATTCTGTCTCTGTTAAATCTCCAGGCGAAGCTTTCCAGGAATTAATATTCCTTTTCATTTGCCTTTGTACTGTGAAAGACAATATTTAGGTCCTTCCTAAGGGATGGGGAAAAAAAAAGTTGTAATGGAGACCAGAGCAAAATAAAACCTCCCACAGATTCAGAGAGGGAGCAGCATCCCAGAATGGCTCACATGCTGTTAGCAGCTTTCCTCTCCTGTTTGTTTGAGCCTGGAGCCCAGGATGGAGCTGGGATCCTGGGAAATGCCTTTCCCTCCTTTCAAAGATAACAGTGAAATCTTTGCCTTTGGAGCCTGATTTGTGCCTTGCTCTCAGTAAAAATTCCAAGTTGCTACAGGCTGAATGTGAATAAATGATTTAGCTCACCCGGTCCTGCCAGCCTTTGTGGGAGCAGGGTGTTAATTTGTGGAGCCTCCTGCTAAAGTGTGCCTGGCAGGGAGGTGGGGCATGCACAGAGAAAGGTGGGGGAAATAGTTATTTGAAATAATGGGGGGAAGTGGGAATAAAAGACGCAGCGCAAAGTAATCGTGGTGGTTAAATCAGAAATTATTCGATGTCTGAGAATTTTCAGCTCTTCTGGGATCTCTTCTGCTTTTCTACAGTGGAGATTTAACACCTGTATGGGAAGCAAAAGGGCCCTTAAGAGGCCCAATCTGTGCACTGGAGTGGAATTTAGTCTTCAGCTCAAATCTCTGTCTGGAGATCACAGGGAGAAGACTGGAAATGTTTCTGATTCCAGGGAGTGGAAGGTGTCTCTGCCAGTGGCAGGGGTGTGGAATGAGATAACCTTTAAGGTCCACTCCAACCCAAACTATTCTGTGATTCTATGTTGTTAATTAAATTCATTGTTAATTATTAAAGTATTAACGATGAATCTCTGTTAAAAAAAAAAAAAACAAAAACAAAAACCAACAACAACAACAACAAAAAAAACATCTGGGGAGCGAGAATTTGGATTTTACATGGAAATGAAAGTCTCTGCTCTGTGAGGACCAGAAGTTGTGCCCTGTGCAGGGTTTGCCACTTGGGTGGTGTTGAGGAAGAGTCTTCAGCCTTTCTGTGGGAACTCTGAATGGGGAAGGATGTTCAGGGAGCAGGAGAAGGAAGACACTCAACCTTGGGTTTTGATTTCACACCAGCCCTGAAACCTGCCCAAGATGTCAGGGAATAACTCAATTTAAGTAGAATCACGTGTACCAAGGCTAAACATATATCCAAGATTAGATATAAGCATTGTGGATTCAGATTCTCCAATTATTCCACTTGTGTTGCTCATATTGGAATGGAGTAATATTCCATTGCAATGGGCTTTGTAGCTGCTTTCCAAAAATATGGAGGGACTGACCAGGTCATATCATTGTAATGACACCACAGGCTTGACTTTTGCAACAATGAAGTGAAACAGGCTTTTTAAAACATTAATTTTATATTAAAAAATAGCTCATGCCAAGTCATTTGTCATAATCACATTTCATTAACAGTGAAGTTAACAAAATCACAATATACAGATTTAGTATGTATTTATTTATATATATCACTTTGTATTAACCATTAACTCTATGTAATAAAAATATATTACAACATTTGATATGTATCCACAAAGCACAAGCCATTGTAAATAGAACAGACAGCACAGGCCCCATTATTCAAAATCTGAACTCAGGAATAATAATTATTTTGTTGCACTCCTTTAAACTGTAGCCACAGAGAATTTTACGTGTCTGCCTTTGCATTAATGGATTTGTTTCTCTGGAATATCTCTCAGGAGACTCAGAGTTTAGCTCACCTGGGACCCTAAAATCTATGTTAACTCATGGCACTCTTAAGTGTGTTGTCATTACAAAGAGGTCTGTGCATCCCTTTCTCCATGCACCTTAGAAAGATTTCATCTATATTCTCATTTTCCCCCTAAATAAATAACCCCTGCAATTAGACCCCATTTTTATACAAAAAAAAAAGTTAAATGCAATAAATTATAGTGGCATATTTATAATAATATAATCAAACATGCCCTATCTACAGCAGCTGTAAATGTTATTTCATAACTATCTTCCTTCAGACTGGCTCTAAGTGCTTTTAGAAATAGGAAACCATCTATTTTCAATATTTGCAAAACAAAATAAATATTTTAAATACGTAGACTGAACATTTTATACTTCTCATTATATAAATGGTTCTTACTCACCCAAGCAACCCCACTGTCCTTGCAGCAAGGAGTTGTAAAACCAGCTCCTAATGACTTTTTAAAAAATCAAATAATCTTCTAATAGTCTAATCTAGGGACAAAAGTTTATCTCCCACTGCACCTGGAAGGATTGGTAATAAGTTACATTCCTGCAAGAATTCAGAGGGGAACAATTAGTGATTGACAAATATATGGAAATTTTAATCCTAAAATAATCTTCAAAAATAAAAACGCAGTGGAAAAAAAATGCTAAGGATTAGAAAAATGCCCTGTGTACAAATAAAGTTAATCAAGGCACCTCTTAGTTACCTATTTCTATTTTCCAAGGCAATATGTGATAATAGTTTTCAAATATCTGTCTGGGAAGCCCTATGGTTTCTGGTATAAAAAGACCCATTCTTTAGTCTGGATGATGCAGGTAGCTTTATTTTACTATTTTTCAAATGAGGCTGGGCACAAAGCACAGAGAACTTGTCCCCAACCTTGTCAAAAGTTGAGGGCACTGAGCATTTCACTGACTTTCCTCACAAAAGTCACTCAATTAATGAGATTTCTTCCTTTGTATTTTTTTACCCCTCTGTTGGTCGTTGATCCCATTAGCAAAACAGAAGAGTTTACCGTCCATGCACAAGGAATTAGTGGTTAGGAGGTAAATTAAAACACTTTGGTATCTGACAGGGCTTTTTGAAGTTTTTGTTCAAGAGCTCAGAGTGCAATACAGAGCAGGAGAGTGGGGAGGGCAGCAGGGGGAAGGCTGCAGCCAGTTCTGCACCACAGACCTGCTGCACTGCCACTAAAACCTCACCGGGATGCTCTGGCATTGCATTAAAAACCACTGGATCCAAATCCCAAGGGAATGGGGACTTCTGATTGTTTTGCTCTTTGTATGCCTTTTAAAAAACATTTGTTTTAAAGCTCTAATTGTAGAACTACAGTGACTAGAAATCAGTTTTCTAATGCCGGAAAGACGGACAGGAACTTTGGACCAGAGCAGGGGGTGACAGGACAAAGGGAAATGGATTCAAACTGACAGAGGTTTAGCTGGGATATTGGGAATTAGGAATTGTTTCTTGTGAGGGTGCCCAGAGCAGCTGTGGCCGCCCCTGGATCCCTGGCAGTGCCCAAGGCCAGGTTGGACAGGGCTTGGAGCAGCCTGGGACAGCGGAAGGTGTCCTTGTCCATGGCAGGGGTGGCATGGGATGGGATTTAAGCTCCCTTCCAACCCAAAACCCCTCCATGATTCTCTGACTCACTAGTAATTCCAGATGGAAATCCTTTTCCTAGCACGACTTTGTTTGTAAATAATCAGCCATATGGACTTGTGCCTTTGGGTATATTGAAAGCATGTGAAATAGCATTTCTTTAACCAAAAAAAAAAAAAAAAGTTATTTTACTCCTCAGTTGCCACCCCTGCTGTCACACCCCTCATGCTTTTCTTCTTGGCACACACATTTCTGAAGGGCACTTGCAGCCTGTAGGGCTAATCCTCCTCAGAAATACAGACATATGTGATAAACTACAGCAACTTCTCCAGCTCATAGATCAGCAGTATTTGCTTAAAAACCAACACTCCTAAATACATATTTACACCAAGCACACCAGGAATACACGTAAGAAGCTGACGTTTTACTAAAAACTGCAGCAGCTCTTTTCTCCATGTAAACTTTTATACCTCCCAAAAGGGACAGCTGCCTTTTGGAGCAGGATGTTTTTCCTAAAAAAAAAATTCACCCATTGAAAATTTTCACTATATTGAATGCTGAAAGCGCAAGAAGCAAATTAAAAATAAATAGATTTAAGGCTACGACATCATTATTCTCACTTATTCAGGTCTGGGGAGGTTGCAAAGACATAATCCCTGATTCTGCAGACACAAAAACCTGTGCTCAGCTCTCACAATCCAGCAAAGCAAACTCACAGTGCCTCTGGGGTCAGGAGCTAACTGAGCTTCCCGTGCTCATCAGTGATTTTTAGTCAAGTAACAACGAGCTGACAGAGGTGTGAAGTCTCTGCTTTTAAGCTTTGTTTAATCAGAAGAGTGTGAGGAGAAGAAAGACCTAACAGCAGAGAAAAGCAATTTCCAAAGTGTTATTCCAGTGATATTCACTGCACACATAAAAATTAATAGGACAAGATATTCAGAAACTTCATTTAGGATTAAGAGAGGTGAGGGAGCTGTGAAACCTTAGGTATGTAGGTCCTGAAAAATTCCCATTCTGCCAGTGACCTAAACCTCTTGGACTTTATGAATTAGACTCTCTGGTCATTTAAACTGTTTGAGCAGTTCCCATAAAAACCATCTGAAGACCATGAGAGTCTTCCCAAACCCAGAAAGATCCTCTTGTGGCAGCTGCGCTGCTCTTGCAGCCTCAGCCCAATCCATGGCACAGCTACAGGGCTTTGACAGGATTTTCACCTTTTTCTTTGGAATGAGTGAAGGTCTGAGAGACTTGGGGAGGTGGAAACAGGGCATGGGAAAAGCTCACTGCAGCCAAGGAGTCCCAAACCATTGCAGCAAAGCCAGTTTGGACTTCCCAGACCCCATTCACATCCATTCCTGCCTCACTTTCTCACTTTTGGAACCTCTTAAGATGTTCTGATACAGCTCGTTTTCGAAGCTTAGTCTAAAATGACTAAAACTAAATGTTTTTTTGTAAATAATGACTAAAATTTTCAATTTTTTTTTTTAAGTTTAGCCTAAAATGTCTTCTCAAAGTTATTTTTTAGAAAAAAAATCCTTGCCAGAAGATTTTACTGTTGACCTGAAGTAGATCAGGATCATTACCTAGATGCATTGGCAAAACTGAGAGGGTAAATTACTGCCAGAGGCAGGGATGTGGATTTTGGGGGCTTTTTGAGGTTCCTTCCAATCTCAGCTGGTCTGGGATGATGTGATATGTGTGGCTACAGCTGCAGCAGTCATCAGGCTCCATAAGGATTTGTCTGAAGTGTTTTTAATCTCTAGGTTTGTATGTTTTTGGTGTTTTGTTTTTGTTTTTTTTTTTTCAGACATAAAGAAAGCTCTAAAAAGTCTGATTTGGGGCTACTGAAAAGAGGTTTTTAGGGTCATCTACTCCAAGTGTAAGAACAGGGATAGAACTGAATTAGTTATGTGGCTGCCTGACATTGGGAGTGAGCATTTGCACATCAGAGGAACTCCCTAAATCCTGTTTACATCCTTCCATTTGTAAACACCATAAAAACAAGGCCCTACACATAGAGAAGAAATCTATAAACCCCGGATAAAATCATCTAATGGACCCAATCCTCAGGTGAAACCACCATTATTTTGATTTATGTCAAGAGAGGGCCTGGTACGTAATAACTGTTCAACAAACCCTTATTAATCTCTCATTGTTTTGCCAATTGCAATTACCCAGATCTTCACATACAAAGTGGCTCAAGAGCACAACAGAAACCAGGATCACAGCTCACAGTCAGGCCTCTGAAATGGTGTAAAAACCGTTCAAATGAACAAAGGAGAAAGCTCAGAATCCACAAAACAACGTGGTGGACTACATTTTCTTAATCATCTGCCAGTGCTCTGCCTGCCAAATTCACAAGAGATGAAGGAAATGTTAATTGAACATGCGTGTGAGGAGTAGATATTGCATATGGGTCACAGATACAACAAACAGAAATCTGCATATTGCCTAAGCAGCTGCCCAGATTTTGCACATGCAGCTCCAGACTTTGGGCACAGGTTGCAGCCAAACTTGACAAATTTTTCAAAAAATATTTAAGCAACAAATGGAAATTCCCCAACCCCCCCCTTGCACACATGTGTGTTAGACAAGAGAACAGCTCTGCTTCATGAGCAGACATCATAAATACTGTGCATTACATTTACCAGCATGATTTTAGCTCACTCTAGTAAGTCAGAGTGTTATATAGTACATATAATACTCAGCAGACAGATAAGTTACTCATATCTACATTCAGCACTGAGACACACATTTTAGAAAATTTTGCCAGTTGCCTATAAGAATTCAGCTGAAAATCTAGCAGTTAACAAGCCACAGTATCATATTTTGAGTCTCCTATAAAATGTCATCAGGAAATGTTGGGGTGGTGTTTTTATTTCGTGTACTGAGGCAGTTTGTCAAGCATCAGCATTTACAACTCCTGCTTGCTTCAGATGGTCAAAATATGACAGAGAGCTGATGCAAGGAAGGGGAAATTATATATATTCTCTGTTGTAAGATTAATTAGGGAAGAAAGGCACCATGAAAGAGAGACAAATTTTTAAACACATACAAGGGGAGAGATTTATTGCTCATGGTGGGATATAAATCAATCAGTGACTGACTGTGATACACAAGCATAATGAGACAAGTCCAGTGCTGTATTCTCCATCTTTCACTAGACATCCTAAACGGATTACGCTTTTTTCTCCTGGGAAATTAGCTTACTAAAAATTGAAATTGAAGGTTTAAATGTTTCTGGAGCTGCCCTTATTCATACAAACCTCCCATTGGCTTTGGCATCAGCTCCATGTGTAAGTTTACAACAGCTGTGGCCTTCCCTGGTGCAATTTAAGTCAAACATGCTCAATATGGAGCTTTTTGTCTTTTTAAACTCAATAATATTCAGCTTTCTAGCATCCTGTATTCTAATACAATCCAATCATCAATATGTCTTGAATTTCTTAAGAAACAAGTATTGAATTGGGTGTTTTTGTCTATTGCACCTGAGAAAATTATGTTAAGCCTAAGAAGCAAAATTATTAAGATGAGGTAGACTATTTAACCTGGCTAAGGGCTCATTTGAATGCAGTGTTGTAAAAGCTTTCTTAAATTCTGTGGCTATAATGATGTGTGGATTTTATCGTAATTATGGTATTTTTTATAACTGAAATTAAGATTTAAGCTGAAAATTTTAATTTACATGGTAGCTGATAATGTTCAGATAATAACTGAGGTACTACCCCACATTCACTTTGGGATGAAGCCCCTCATGGAGTCCCCATGCTGGGCTTTGAATCAGAGGCCAGAAAATTCAACAGTGGACTTTTTTTTGCAACATACCAAGCCCTTCTCTTGCATGGGAGAAGGTGGCAAGTAAAAAGTAATCCCACATTTTTTACAACTTGAGGCCTTATTTCCTCAGAATGGCATTGACAGCTGGGATGTGAGCAGGGATGGATGGCAGTACAGCCAGTTGTGCCAGCTGTTATTGAAGCTGCCATTGCATTCATGAAGCCTAATTAACCAAGCCTGTTTTAAAATCTGGGCAGGCATCTGAGTGCATGGTAAATGTTAATAATGTTCCTATGCAGAACTACAATCCAGAGCTATAAAGATTTGTACTGACACCTCCAGAGATTTGCACATTCAGATGTGGATTCAGATTATTGGCTCCACTTTCATGGTGGAGAGGGGGGGCCTATTATTTGTGCTCCACTTGCTTTGGAAATTATACTTGAAACTCAGATTTAGGCTCATCTTTCCTTTAAGTAGGAAAAAAACCCATGATTAATAACTCCTCAGAAAAAGAGATTTTTTATTTTCCCTCCTGGGCACAGGGCCCAGATCTGCAGCTTTGGGCAAAATCCAGCTATTCAAGAGCTCAGATATATGGAAGGTAGGCAGGAGGCACCCTGACCTTTCCACCCTGTCTACCATTTGTATTTCCCTGAAATTTAATGGGGAGAATATTAGTGGGATTCTATGTAAATAACTTTAAAAATTTAGAGAAGACATGGCTGAATCCAGCACACTACAAAAGTAGTTTTTCTCTTCCTTTAATTCTATGTGATTCTTCCTAAAATATATATCAGAAAAGGCTGAACTGCATTGGGCACTGGATGAATATTTAGACTGGGGTTTTTTTAAGCTTTTCCCATTAAGATTTTCTACAAACAACCTTCTCAAGCCACGAGGATGGGGTCGTTTTTGTAGAGCCACGTTGGCAGCTACATCAGAAGGAGCTTTACCTGCAGCCAACGACAAACACAGCACAAATATCCTTGTGCAGCTTTTCAGAATAATCTTACACCAGCAGCAGATTGCTCCCCATTACCTTCATGAATCCCTCTGCTGAGGACTGTTTTTTTATCTCTAAATGCAGCTGCTGATGGAAATCAATGGGAGATTTGTATTTGTGGAGCCTGCAGGACCACGGGTCAATAGCGCTCTTCCAGTCGGAGGGAGGAGGTCCAGAGCAGCCTGGATGTTACCTGGGCTGCTGGAGGGACACAGTCTGGACTTCACCCTGCCCACAGCCGCCTTCCAAAACCTGGACAGCTGAGGAGAGCTACTAGGGGTGGGCCAGTTGCTGTTGTTTCCCAAATATCACTTGACAGGTCCCATACCAGGCTCCTCATTCGTTCAGCTGCGGAGGGTTCCGGTTGTGCGACTCGCCCGCCAGCGCCGAGGAGTTGATGGAGCTTCTCTTGAGGATCTTGTTTATGATGTCCTTCCACGTCTTCTTGTACTGGTGCCGTAGCAAAGAGTACACAAAAGGGTCTGAAACAGCTTTGCTGTAAGCTAAGCACTTGGAAATGATCCCCCAGTGGGAGCTGATGTGGACCACAGAGGATAATTCAACAAGTCTGGGGAGAGAGGGAGGGTGACAGAGTCAGCGTTAAAAATTACATTAACCCACCCCACACCCTCAAATTATTGTTGGGCAATTGCAACAAAACTAAAGAAAAGAAAGCCCTACTCATGAAAATGTGTATATTGTCCTCCTCTTAAAAATTTTAAAGGCTGCAAATGTAAACTTGAGGCCTGTTTGCCAAAGTGCCATTGCTTGGTCTCAGGGGAATAAAATTTCTTTGCTGTGAGCAACCTAAAAACCCAGCATCAGTCATAACTCGTGGTTCTGGTTCCCCTTTAGAGCACCTGAGTCACCTCACCAGGGCTACCCAGCTCTTTTGGCCAGTCCAGCTCCTGGAGAGAGCTCAATGCCTTTGAACAGTTTGAGTTGTAGGAGCACACAAGGGAAATTCATCGCTGAGAGAGAGCGTGTCGTACCTTGAATTTAAAAACTGGCCAGTTCAAAGGGCAAGGATTCACATTTGTAACAAATTTAGCAAGGCAAAACTTTTAAATCATTAGGGGAGGGGGAGAGGAAAGAGCTTAATATACTGCTCATACCTACACTAGCCCAGATAGTTCACTGTGCACTGAGAGCATTTTTGACAGGGAAATATTGATAACTCCCCACGCCTTTGAGCAGCATCAAAGGGCAGCTCTGTTCAATATGGCTCTGTAGCTGTTAGAAACTATTGATTTTACAGAGGTCAAACAGCCACGTGTGCTGTTACAGAGCCCCACGTGGCAGGTCAGGTCTTTGCTGGACCTGCCTGCAGCAGCAGGTGTTAAATCTTCAGGAAAATACTTCAGTTGCTCACGTTTCTCCAGACAAATCAGCACTTCCAAAGAACATTCTGAAGGGTGGCTCCTGCAGCAGCAATGACAATAAGGTTGGTACTTCAAGCAGTTTGGAGATGAGGATTTTTTTTACCTCAGTCATTCCATTTCATAACCTTTCACTACAATGTATTATTTAAAATAATGCTGGCAGATGTCACAGTCCAGTCAATGTGAGGGACATTTCAGGTGACCAGGGAATGTCACATGAAAATATTTGGGAATTGTTTGTGCCACTCCACTGGTGTTGCTTGGCTCAGCAGCTCTGATGCCTCAAAAACCTTAATCTGTCCCATTTCTCTCTCATCTCAACTAAATAAATGTTCTTTCAACCTCTCCTGGTAATTCATGGTCTTTATATTTCCTACAAAGATGAGAACTGAGACATAATTTTCATTTGCTCAAGTTTCCAGGTGGTCTCATCTGGTGTATTCTCTCTTCTTTAATAAAATGCAACTTAAGGCATCCACGTTAACGTGTTCTAAAATGAGAATTGACAATTTGGAAATTAATCATATACTGAGTCATATTTGCTTTGTAATCTACCATGAGCCATCCTTGTTGTTCTCCACTTCATTTATTCAATGCCTACTTCATGTTTTGAATTTCACCACGTTGAATCTCATTTGGATGATTTATTTTTACTGAGTGCTTTACAGATGTGAATTTGATTCCGTTTAATTAAATTCAGCGGATGGTTTGAATAACCAAAATAGGACAAATTTGTGTCTGAGGCTCTGTCAGTCACTTCTATGAGACATTAACTATCTCCATTTAAAGCACATCAAGCAGACACTTCAGGGTTGCAAGCTTAGACTTGCTAATTTTACCTTCATTGACTGATCAAATGAAAAGCCTACACTTTTATTAACAAGATCTTAAATATTTTCCTTGCGTTCTGTAAGCTTCCTTGACATTTACACATTTTTCAATTCTCATGTATTATTTTTTATAGTAAATTACATTTGCTGTTATCAAGCAGCAAACACAGAAATGTAGCCAAACCCTGAGCTATGCATTTCCATTTCATGTACAAATAAATGTCAGCCTTTCAAGGAACATCACAGAATTTATTGCCTTTGAAAGGTTTTGTTTCTCATTTGTGAGGGAAATTGTATGCACAGCTTCCATTTTCATGAAAAGTTTCAGCCTAAAAGAAGACATTTTCAGTGAAGGAACATTAATATTTCAGTGCTACCTGTAAATTAAATTTTACAGTATCAACTACATAATTCCCTGCCTTGCTTTCATAAGCCTCTCTTCTACTGTCTGGTCTTCAAAATCTTTTTATTTCAAAGCTTTAAGCTCTTTTGCTGTGATATATTGTTCATATTTTAGAAACTTACAACTCTGTAGAGTGTGTTGTTTCACATGGCTATCCAATTATTTTATTTCCCCTTCAGTAAACAAACAAGAATGCCATGCTGAAGAGTGTGACCTTGATCTCTACACACATAATGCACACTGGAAATCCTTTATTTACATGTGCAGTTAATCACTACACTAGAATATTTTACTTAACATGTGCCCACTCAGCTGGGATGCTGAAGAACACAAATTGCAGAATTTTGCTTCGTGTGTGCCCAAGCAGGATCTGCATATGCAGAGGGCAAACAACAGTTCAAAACCAGGGTTTGCTTACCCCCTATCCCCCAGAGATGATACAACAGAATTTTAGCCATCTTCTGCCCGTTTCACCATCTTCCTCTGTAACCTGAGGGTTTGGGATTATGAACTTCTGTCTGCTATTACTTCAGGATTTTTAATTTAAGGCAAATTTCCTCACACATTGACAGCATTTATTAACTTACATGAGCAGAGTTCTGTATTTCAGTATGAAATGCCTGGAGTTGGAAATGAATTTTAGAAACTTGCATGGCTTATCTTCATTTTTCTTACAAAAAAGTTCCTTGGAGGAAAAGAGGTTTGGAACAAGTATATTTAATTGCATAATGATAAATATAGCAAAGGAAAAAATGTGTACCAGCAGATTATTTTACAAAACAGAAAACAAGCTATGCCTAGAAATGTATAATGGGGGGATTACACCTGTCATGCTGGTAAAGTGGAAACACTGGATCAAAGACAATCAGATTCTGATATGCTATTTAAGGTCATCTCCTGAACTAATTAGAAGGGTGTTTTCTTGATGAATGAAGTGCCTAATCTGATTTTTACCTCAGTGTGATCTGAAAAACTCTGGTTTACCCAGAGAAGCATTTATGTGCCTGGGGTTATGAGCACAACTCCTTCACTTGTTCAAGGAATATTTTTAGTGTGGAAACAGGAAGATGTTATAATGAAACCTTGTGATTTGCTGCTGTCAGCCCCCAGTTCAGGGAGTACTTAAAAGCATGTTTAATTGAAGTATATTGCTGATTAGGAGAGGCTGAGCAAGGCACTCCTGACTCCTGTCCACGGCTCGCACTGTGATTGATCGTGTCTCTCTTGAGCATGCAAAGCACTGGATGTAGTCCAGAAATTACACACAATTACACCCTTGCTCACACAATGAAAATCCAATTCTCCCAATCCCCTGGGTGTCTGGATGCTCAGCCCTGTGTGTGAGGCTCAGGGCAGGTAGGGATGAGTGTCCTGGAGCGTCCAATCCTGCACGTGTCCAGCAAGGGCTCTCAGGGAGGGAATTCCCCTTCAGCCTGCTGTTCAGTTGTGGGAATTGGAAAAACAGAAACTCCCACAGACACTGAATGGTTTGATCTGCAGCCCTAGAAAAAGCTTAGATTGATGTAAAAGTACAATACACAGATATTAGGCAGAAAAATCATAAACTTGTATTTCTATAGTTGTAGGTGAGAAAATGCCTTAAGTGAGAAACTGTGTGGGTGAGATGGTGAAGGGTTTCTAATGTAAGGGTGGGGTTGTATGGAACAAACTGAGAGTTCAGAAGTTTTAACAGAAGCAGATGTGTGCCTGTGAGTTAGAAGCCCATTAAAGTATCCACAGTGCAGCAGAAGTGAGTAAAGGTGATGGGTTAGAAAAGCAAAATAAACCCTGTGGCAACTGTCATTGGGTTAGACAGTTCTGCATCACCTTATAACAAAGAACTTGTGACTGCTCTTGAGCTATGGCCGAATGCCTGCTCCTCTAAAATCTCAGGGACTCTGAGACTGATGTTTATCTGAGCAATAAATCATTCTTAGCCTGAAAATAGTCCCATCCCTTCATTTCTAGCAGTGACAATGATATGCAGTGATCTTTTTACACATGTCAGAGTTGAAAAGGCCAGGAATGTGGGAGACTTCACCCCTCCTGACACGTCTGACCAGCTCCCACCCTATCCCAAAGCATCCTCATGCATCCAGGACCCTGCATTTCCCCCTCCTCACCATCACCCTCTGTGGAGAATCTGCTCCTCAGCAGGAGAACATTGAAGTGATCCTTGTACAGACTAAAGGGAGGAGGCTCAGGATTTTTCTACCCCCTCTTCTGTATTTTGAGGCTACTGGGACACAAACTGGGATGCCATGGAGTGAAGAGGAGGTGGGGAGGTGGTGCCTGAGCGCTGAGATGCCTTTGCAGGAGCACAGAAATACTCCTGACAGCTCTGCTTAGAGCGCTCAGTGTCACTCAGGATGAGCTGCCACCTATTCTGTGACTGGGAGGATTTTCAGTAAGTTCAGAGACCTAACATGAAATGAAAATTAACCATTTGCAAAAAGACAAGTACTTTAATATCTTTCAGCTTGAGAATTAAGGCTAAATGTCCTTAATTACAAGTCCTTTCATACTATTTAAGTGCATGGCTTGCAGTGGTGTCTTGTGGCCATGAAGTGACAATGAAGGTAATTCTAGTAAATTACTTTAATTTTCTATTTCTGTAAATTCAGGGTATTGCACTGAATTGGAAAAGCTCACGGTTGGCCAAGTGTTCAATTATATTGACTCTTAATCCAGATTTTTCAATGAGTTTTTTCAAGTTGGATCTGAGTTTGAATGAGGTCAGCTCCACTAATTTCTACTTAACAGTATTGGAATAGGAGATACTTTTATTAATTTTTTCTTTCTCTGTTGTGCATCGCAGCATCTCAGTTTTTCCAAAATCTTATAAAAAAGAATGCAAGCTGTAAATTTCCTTTAACAGCCAGATAACCTTTTTTCTGGAAGTGCTCACTTTCTAACACTTTTTATTTCACAGGAGTAATTTAGTGTTTCCCACAGAAGCCATTTCCAAAGATAAGCTGGAAAAATATCTACCATAAATCATGTGAAGATTTTTCAGTTATGAACCAGCACAGCTTTGATATTTGATATTTATGACTAATAAACCCTACCCAATCAGACAAAACTGTTTAAGTCTGTGGATCCTGTTCTCACCTCAGCTGAATCTTGTTGACCAAATTTTTACAGTCTGAGCTATTCAGGCAAGATTTTCCCTGGACATCAACCCCTGGACTGGGAAGTCAATCAGAGCAGTAGGTGACCAAAAAAAAAAAAAAAAAAATCTGTGATGCCTTGTGAAGGCTGCTCTAGAACAGAGCCTGGACAGAGTTACAGTATTAAGCAGGGATTTATCCAAATGAACCAAAACAGTCCCAAAATGCACGAGCGCTCCCGGGGGCTCTCCCTGGGATCAGTTCTGCTCCATTGGCACCTTGGAGTTCATTGTCCCATTCCAGCTTCAGCCCAGGCAGTCCCACCCTGCTTGTTTTTCTCTCTCCAGCCCACGCTGTTTGTGCTCCTGGGCTGAGATTTGGATCATTTGTCCTTGGTGCCCAGCTGGAGCAGGAATTGTTTTGTCTCCCTGCTCTGTGCAGAGAGCTTAGCATCCCCTGATATAAAGCTCAGACCCACCCACTAAAGCAGCAGAGAATCTGAAATATAGAAAAGCCAAAACCTGAGGCATCATCTGCAAATCCTTATGGACTGACTTCCTAAATCCCTCCCATGCAAGCAGCACATTGACTGGGCTGAGTGAGCAGAATCTGCCCCTCAGACTGCATCAGACTGAGAGGAGAAGCACTGGGACATTTTACATCATTTGTTAGCTCGGTAATTGCAACTCCCATTACAGGAGTGGAAACGGCGCGTCGGATTTCCCCAGGAGACCTCAATCCTGTCCTGGCTCAGAGTGCCCTACTTCCCTGGGCCAGGAGTGCATCTCAGCAGCCTTTTCCAGGATGTAGGTTCCCACTTACCTTGTGATTACATAAGGTGCAAAGCAAAGTATGAAAGTACCAATGAAGGTACTTATTTTCTTGGTCGCCCGCTGCCTCCGTCTCCTCTGCTCCTCCAGACAACGCTCCCGCACGCTGTGTGACATCCAACACAAAGCAGAGCATCAGTCACCAACAACACCAGTAACAATTCCCAATGGCTTCACCGTGGAATGATGGAGAAAAATCTGTTTTAATTGTGTAAACCAATAACAGGCGCACTGTGTTCAAATGGGACGAAACCAAATATTAATGAATTCTCTGTTCGTCTTACCCTCCACAAAGTTCCTGGTTGTATGTTTGTATCCACACCCCCCCATTATGGCAATTGATCTATAGAAAAATTGGTGGAATTCATCCCTGAATTCAGTTTGCAGCTCCTTCTTGAGCTACTGTAAGCTGTATTTGCAGGCAAAATACTCAAAGATTTGGAAGATATCCTGTTGGAATCCAAAATGCAGGGAATTCTCAGAACTTTGGGCTTGTAAGCCAAAGCTTAGAACACAGGATTTGATCTGAGACCTCGGAAAAGGCTTCCAAACTTAGGTGCTAGAAGTGAGAATGTGGATTTGTAGTTTAAAGCAGAGACATATTAAGTTAAAAAGAGGAAAGTTTAGAGTTTTAGAGTTTAAGATATAAAAAATATAGTAGTTACAGAGGTAAACAAGGAGATTAAAATGCAGTACTGTAGGTTTGTGTGGCATAACATGATTGGCTAAGAAAGCTGACACTGTAGCATGGGTCCATAAGACAAAATATTTAAGGATTGGGTCAAAAACATAAATATCTTTTTTGGCAGTGTTTAATTGGTCAATAATTCCTTAAAAGGTCGTGTAACTGCGGGTCTTGGGACCTTCTGAACCATGCAGTGAAGATGTGAGCCTAACTCACCCTTCCTATGTTGCAGATAAGAAAATAAACCTCATCATCAAAAGCAGTTCAGAGGTCCTGTCTCTAACTCATTCAAAATTTCTTCAAAAATCCCCATATATCCAGAGTGGGATAGGCAACATGCTTCTTCCCTAGACACAGGAATTCCAACACCACTGCCTTGGAGAGGAGAAATGTCCCAGCAAGATACTCAAAAAACCCAACAAAATCATAATGGGAAAAAGAACACTGTGAACCTCCAGCCCAACATGGGAGCTCTCACTGTGTCCCAGAGCTGTGAGCTGTGTGGCCATAAACCTCCCACCAGAACTGCAGGGCTGAATGCTCCCCAAAGCTGGAATTGTTTCATAAATCCACAGTCTGGGATATCCTCATTCCTCACCTCAAACCAGCCCTGTTTCTAACTAAGCAGTTGCAAATCAGTCACACTTTGGTTTCTTTCCTACCAATGGTACTTTGGGACAGGAGCTTTTCCTTTGAGTTTTCTGTTGGTGGTCTCAGCAGCCCACCAGAAGTTCTGAATCTCCTCAGGGTGACAGTAGGGCTGAGACTTTGCTTTCAGTGCAAAAAAAAATCCCTGAAATCAGCACATTGGCTTGTGAAAACAGTGATTAATGTGAAAGCTCACCTCCTCCTCTGCCTGTTTGAGGGACTCCTGTGCTCCCTGTGGTTTCTGAGGGAAGTGGGTGAGCTCCTGTCCACTCCACGCTGGTGGATTGGGCAGCACTGATATCTTCCACAGTGCCAGGACTGCCTGTACCTCAGTAAATCCCTTTGGAAAGGGCACAGCAAAGCCAGACTGGCATCCTGAACCCCCCTCTGTGCACATGGCAGAGTTGCTGACTCCTTGCACAGATCCCACAGTGACACAGTCACTTCTCAGGCAAACTGAATGGGCTGGCCCATGTCCTGCACTTATATATATATATTTATATAATTTTTTTTTTAAACCAAACTGTTTGGCATTGGTCTTTCCATTTTTGTTGTAAATTTTTAATTGATGACTCACTCTCTGGCTCCACTCTCTCAGCTCTGAGGCTCATGGTCATACCCTTACATTATTTACTTCATCTGTAAATGTTTTATCAGCACCCAAACTCATGTTGTGTCCTGAGGATCTCACTGTGTTTCAGTGATCTCTGTGGCAAGGAATTCCTTTGCTTGTGTTAAAGAAAAAGTGTTTATTTTGTTCATCCTAAATTTGGTCTTACATTGCCAGGTTCAGAGCAGCTAACACGACGTGATGAAATAAATACTGGAGGAAAAGTTTGTTCTCATAACAAATTGTCTTTCTCTTAAAGAATATGACACATTTAAAGGTGTTACGTGTTCTATATGTGGATTATTTGCAGCTAGAAATGACAGCTGAGAAGGGAAAAAAAAAATCCACCTTTTCAAGGGAACCTGTGCGCTTTAAAATCTGCAAGAGCTGGGGAACTTGGAGTATTTTTATGTGCAGAAAAATTATCTGAGAGTTTCATGAGCTTTGTTTAAGACCCATGTTCTTAAATTCAGAATATCCTAAACCCATGGCAATACAGGAAAGTGAACCTCCAAAACAGGTTCAATTAAGGTGCTGTTAGGGAGGAGAGGGTGGTGTAATTTTTGTCTCTGTTTCCCCAGTTACATCTTTTCCTTTCTGGCACATGCAAAGCTGTCTCTCGCTCCTGGAGCTCACCCATTACTGTCCTGGTAGACTTAAACCCATTTCTTTTATTCAGCCCTTCCAGATGTATCCAATAAATACCAGATTACAGAAGAAGGTATTTTATCTCACTCCTTCATGTAGACCATGTACACAGATGAATATTTTGGTTTTGCACACACTGTCATGCACTAAGATAAGACACATGAGAGTTCTAGCAGTGACATCAGTAATAGAACAGGATTATTGGCTAAGCTTTCATTTAAAGATTTTAATATCCTGGGAAATCTGAGCTATATCCCTTTGAAGGTTTGGTATTTTAAACAAAGTTTATGGGATATTGGACCTTAAGATGTGTGGAGCTGGGTACACCAAAAAGATACTACAGATAATTTAAATTAAGAAATACACGGGTTAAGCACTTAAGTGAAGTTTTGCCCAATACTCAAGATATTTTGGTCTTAAGAACAAAGAAAAAGCTGGATCCACTAAAAAAGCCTCAGCTAACTTGAAATTCCCCATGCCCTAAACACTCACACGTATTTGCAGGGTATTTGGAGGTTTCCTTTGTGCTCGTCCTGGATGATCTTCAGGAGATCACTCGTGTCTTTCTAAGTCACAGGTAATAAAGCCATGTGTCACAACTCCTGTCACCAGACCCCCCTGCGGGTGGATTCTGAGTCATGGGAAGCAGAAAATTGTCTGTACACATTTCCCAGCGTTGAAACTGGGACTCCTCTGCAAAGAGCCAGAGGAGTAGTCTAAAGTGGGATTGCAAACTTTGTTCTCCCATTTGGACTCCCCCAGCAGCCACAGCTGTGCTGTCAGGTACCACAGTGCACCCAGAAATTGCCTGTTACACAATGCAAATGATGCCTTTGTTCTGTCAGACGCTCCTGAGCATCTCTGACTCTGCTGGCAGAGCTGCAGCCCCTGTGCAGCTCTCACAGGTGACCTGAGATCTGCCCCTTTCAGCAGCAGGAACTGTCACTGGTTAGAACAGGGGTCAAATCAGTTCTGTTGGGTAGAAAAGAAACTAAAACTCCTTAGAGAGAGGCACCAGAATCACCTGGTGCCAGAGGTGAAGGCAGTGGTGCAGGTTGCTCACAGCAAAGTGTCTGCACAGCTCTGTCTCCCCTGAAGAGAGGAAGCATCATTCCCACAGCCCCACTGAATCCACCCCGCAGAGAGAGCATCACAAAATGCACAAACACCCCAAATCAACCTCAACCAGAAAAAATGCAGGGGAGGAGAAGCAACACTGAGATTTTTGCCCTTTTACTAAACTTTGCTGTGCAGTCCAGGCATACTTTTAGCATTAGGCAAAATGAACAGGGTTTCAAACAGCACTGGTGGGTTTATGGCACTTTCCTGGGAGTAACCAGCACATCTCCTCATGCTGCAGGAACTAAGGCAGTCGAGGCACAGTTCATCAGGCAGACAGCACGTAGGGCAGGAGGGTGTTTTTTTCCTCTGTGTGACTTGGTGATAAAGGGAAGATTTATCCCTGCATTTCTCAAGAACGGCAACAAGACTTGCCCAAAGTTCTGCTCTGCATTCTTGGTCAAGAGACAGCTCAAACAGCTTAACAGGAGAATTCTCTCCCTCTGAGCAAATGTTTCTGTCCCTCTAAAATGTGCTGCCCTGCCCTGATCCTTCCAGACTTATTTGTCTCAGCCTCAGGCATCCCCCCCACACCATGACCTGTGTTTGAGGACAGCCACATGTGCTCAGAGCCCTGCAGCTCTGCTCTGGGCTGCCTGCAGATGGAGAGGCTGGTGGAGCAAAGGGGAGCAGGGATGGTCAGATGGGATGTGTGGCATGGGACTACCCTCTCTCTCTGTTCTCTGCTCTCTGCTCTCTGCTCTCTGCTTTCTGCTCTCTGCTCTCTGCTCTCTGCTCTCTGCTCTCCTCTCTTCCAGCCAGATTTCCTCCCGGTATCACACACCAAGCCTGCATCCCTTCCAGATCTATACATCGATTATTCATGCAAGATTTATGGCTTATGCATAATTCCTGGTGTGACTTCTGCACACATTCCTCTCCCTCTTTGGCTCTTTCCTTCCAGCCCACAATCCTGCCTGTCCCTGGGGACTTTTCTCCTCTTGTCTCGAGGCACAAGGGATTTGCCTAAAATCTCCCATTTGAAATGAGCTTTATACATCCCTTGTTTGTCACATTAGCACTGCTACTGAATTCTCTCTCACTTAAGGTTTAAGTACAGGCATTCGAGCACATGAATTTTGCAGATGTAATTCCCTTAAGGACTCTGCATTCAGGAATGATAAAGTTACAGAGAGCACAGCAATGGGGAAACTACTGGGAAAAGGAGCAGCAGGCAGCACTCAGCTTCCCTTCCAAACTCCAAGGGACATGTGCAGCCTCCTCCCTCTCAGGGATCCAGCAATGGGTCTTGGGCCGACAGTGCCCAAAACATGCAAAGCTGTGGACCACTAAATCCACCTTCAGAGACAAAGGGCAGCGATCGGATCACTGTCTCAAAGGGAAGTGCATGCTTGGCCAAAACTGCCTGTTCATTTGCTCTCCCTCCCAAAACGAGTCCTTAAGCCTAAAGAAAAATAAGTTCAGCAATCACAGAATTAAACACAAGTGAAAAGAACCGTGCAGAACAGAAACAGGCTGAGAGGCTATTTGCTTCCTCCCCCTCCCCATCTCCTGCTGTGAGACAGATTAGTCTCTATCTACTGAGCCCCCTCCTCACTTCTTCTGCCAGGAACAGCTGCTGAACTCACAGAACCTTACCTGGGATGGATGTCCACAAGCAGCACCAGGGTCTGCATAGTGATCACGTCGATGCGCTTACAGTGGAACCGTGCCACCTTCAGCACTTTGAGATATGTGAAACACAGCACTACCAGGGAGAGGAGGAAGCTGAGGGCGTGAAAGACCCCAGTGAAAATCACAAACTGTGTCCTATCCTCTGGTCTCTTGTTGTAGAGCGTGCAGGAGGCGTAGAGGTGATGGAAACCCAGCCAGGAGAGAGAAGCTGCCACTATGGGGAACGACGCCGAGTGCAACCACGTGTAGCTCAGAATGAGAGCGGCGTCTCGGTACCTCATTTTGGAGTGGTAACTTAGAGGGAAGACCACAGCAATCCACCTGTCAATGCTCAAAGCTGCCATGCTCAGCATGGAGTTGGTGGTGAGGAAAGTCTCCAGGAAGCCCACAACGTGGCAGACCTGATCTCCTCCCGGCTGACTTTTGTAAATGATCCCAGCCAAGGTCAGGGGCATGCTTGAGACAGCCATCAACAGGTTGCAGAAGGTGAGGTTGAGGATGAACAATCCCGGGACCTGCTTGCGGATGTCGGCGCTGTACAGGAAGCACATCAGCACCAGCACGTTGGCCAGCAGGGCCACGAGCATCAGCACCACCACCACGAAAGCCAGGAGCAGCTCCCAGATGCTCATGGTGCGTCCAGTCACAGCAGGGACATCTCCGAAACTGCGCCGCGCCGGCACCGGGGGACCATGGTGCGAGGTGCCCCCGCCTCGCCCTCCTCCCCAGCCTGCTCGCTCCCCTGCATGCCCTCCGTATTTTTAGAGGAGCTGCAGCTTTCTCCTCCAACCTCCCCCTCCTCGCTGCTCCTTTCCACGTCAACGCTTCCCGAGACGTGCACAAAAGCACTGGGAATGCCCATCAAACTGCAAGGAGGGATTAAAAAATATCAGCAGGACTGAACCACTGTCTGCCGTCGGTCCATTCTGAGGAGAGTGTGTTATTCTGAGAAGCTGCTCTCCTGAGATCCCCAATTATCAGCCCCAAGCTTGCGAGCAATCCACCGAGTGAACTGTGCTCTCTTTCTCCCTTGCTTTCTGCCTCTCTCTCCCTCTCTGTCTTTCTCTCTCTCCCCTCCCCTCTCCTCCAACCCTCGCTCCCTTCCAGGCTGAATGTAACCTGCTTTTTATGATCACAGATAAAAACCCCATTAATGGATTAAAGCATGCACACTGCTGGTGATTCGCAAACGTGATTATGTCATCCCTGCTCCACAACCCCTCCCCTTCTCCCTGCGACCGTGACTAGACTTTCCTCAAGAGAAATCCCATGCTTGCATTTAATTGATTTAGCCATTAATTTGCAAACAAGCCTTGTAACCGAATTCCTGCGCTCCAGCGTGCTCCCTACATTTCGGTGCATCACTTGCAGCGCTGCTGCTTGCTCTCAGCCAGGGCAGGGGCTTTCTTTTCTTTCATTAGCTCTGCTTAAAGAGATGGGGAAATGGATATTTTCTGCTACTTCTCTGAAGCTGTCATTAGGCTACGGGAATGATTTTACTGCTTGGGTTCAGCACTTTGCAGTTCGTTGTATTCCGAACATCATGTGGAGGAGGAAACTGATTGCTTCCCATCCTTTAAAAGCAGGGAAATCAAAGCCCAGATGCCAGAGCCACATGCCCAAGGTCACAGAGCAGGTGAGGGGCAGAGGCAGCATCGTGCTGCAGGTACCTTTATTCCCTCAGCCTTTCTCCTCTCCAGGAGTTTCTCCTTCCTCCCAATCAGAGCCTCCCTCCCTGTGAGGGTGAGCACCCTGCGAGATCAAAACTAAAAAGCAGCTTGGCAAAGGAAATAGGAATGAGTGATTTGCACAAAATTAGGCATCAAAATTAAGTTTGTTTTAAAGGATGGAGCAGGAGTTGATTTCTCATTGCTTTTCCCGTCTCTTTAAATCAGTTTTAACCGAGCAGGCTGAGAGTTTGTGAGCAATCAGGACAGCTTTCTGATCGAGGCAGCCAGGCTTTAATCCCTGCACAATAAAAAGGCAAAAGATACCCCGCAGCACAGGTTTTTGGTGCTCAGTAAGTGCCTCTGCACGTGTGGGAGAGCTCGATGCTCGATGCTCAGGCAGTTTTCCCTCGGAGCCCTCCAGAGCCGTGCATCTCCTCCAACAGCAGCTGCTCCCTGCAGCTCAGGAGCAGAGCTGGCACCCTGCTCGCTGCCAGAGCTTGGCACGTTGGAGAAAAACGCCTCTTTCACTTCAGTTTTGGTTTGTTTTGTTTTCAAAAGCCAGGCTTTCAAGGGCTGGAAGGAGCAGCTCAGGGTCTGTCCCTCAGCCCTGTCTCCAGAGCATGACTCCTCATGCTGAGGGGGTGAGGAGAGACCTACAGCGTTTGTCTCCTTTCCAAAGTCAGGGAAGTGGTGGAGTGACCACCCCTGGGAGTGCTCAAAAAACCTGTGGATGTGGCATTTGGTGACGTGGCTTAGTGGTGAACGTGGTGGAGGTGTTGGGTTGATGGCTGGACTTGATGATCAAAGAGAGATTTTCCAACCTTAGTGATTCTATGAGAAAATCCTAAAGGTGTCCCCTTCTTTAAATACAAGGGGTTGTTACCCTCTTAGAAGAGGTGGACTGAGGAAATGAGGGAGAAGATGAAGGCTTTGCTGCTGCTTCACAGCACCAGAACCTCAGCAAGTTTCCTCCTTGGGTAGGAAGCAGCAGCCCTGCTGAGAGGGGTCTCCTGGCATCCACAGCCTGAGCTCCAAGGGACACTCAGGGACAGCTTAAAACCTTCAAGCTCAGCAGGCAAAGGCAGCTGCAGGACCACAGGAAGGTGCTGTGTGAGCTGGGAGTCACCGGGAAGAAAAATGTGGGAAAATTTGCTAGGAAGAACCGGGGTTAAAAAATGGAAAATTTTGGTGATATGTTTATGAAAGGCAGGAACTCTGTGACAACGGTAAAGGGGAAACTCACCCCCTGGTGGCATCAAGGGGATTCCTGGCTCTTCTTTCCACCCTCAGCCTCCTCCTGGGCTCAAATGAACCCTGCAAGACCCCCATCTGTGTAGGGACGGGGGAATTCAGGCTTTTCCCCTGCCTCCAGTGCACGAGGCTGTGGGTTTATCGGGGTGGTTTCGTGCTGTTATCCCTTCAGTGAGCTGTGGTGCCTCCAGGATTGTAAAGCTCTGCTCCTCAGTAATTCCCTGCTGTGACAGGGGTCTGGCATCAGTGTCAAGCCTGGTGAACAGTGGGGGAGGAAATTCATGCCCGGAGAAAAAGGATTAGGGATGACAGCTGGGAAAAGAGGATTCTCCCAAAAGATAGATGTGAAATAATGGGAGGCAGAAGGAGAGAGTTCAGTGAAGCTGTGATGGAATATGGAAGGTCAGATTTGGGGGAAAATCTACAGTCAAGGGGAAAGCCTTTGTAGATAGGAGGAAGCTGAAGTTTTTTCTCAGTGACTAATTTGAGTGTCAGCATGTATTTTGTATTCTGAAGGCCCAAATGATTTACATAACTAATTCCCCTGTTGCTAATCCCTGCAGCAGAGGGGGTTTGCTGAACACTTCTGGGTTTATTTATTTTGTGTACCTAAGGGAGCACGATGGAGCCATGGAATGGCTTCATTTTATACAGATCAGGAGGGAGGAATCTGCTGGGCATCTGTCGAGGGTTAACCCCAGCTGGCAACTGAGCACTGCTGTCACTCCCCTTTTCCCAGGGGCTGGAAATCTGGGATAGGACTGTGGGATAGAATCAGAGAGTCATTTGGGTTAGAAGAGAGTCATTTGGGTTAGAACAGAGTCCAAGACCATCGAGGCCAGGGGAGCTCTTTAGGGTTAACTTTGGTCTCTCCTCAGCCCGTACTATGCAAACCCTTGGCAGGGTTGCTTGATGGAGACAGAAACCACAGGTCTGTCTCTCTTTGGGGTGTCAGAGGTGACCTTTACACCTCCTCTGTCACCTTCCCTGACCAAAAATTAATTTACTTCAGCCCCTACTGTCCCCAGCCCCAGATAATGAGCATCACCCAGTGGATTCTTGCCTGGCTCCTTCATCTCCAGCAGGTTCTGTGTGTGGCACACTGGCACTAACTGGGAGTTCCTGGCCGGACAGATGGCTTCTCATGGGCCACCCCTCTGGGGATGTGGGGAGAGAAGCTCTCCAGTGCTTCACCTCAGAGCCCTGGAGCTGAGAGTGCCAGGGCAGCTCCTCAGCTGCTCCCCAGAGCCCTCCTGGTGAATTATCCATGCCCAGGCTGCTGCTTTTCTCCATGGAATTAAAGAAACATCAGGCACGTGGCTGGTGCTCCTGGCACTCCTGCCTGCTGGACGGGTTTTTAAGGACTCTTAGGGCAGCTGAGGAAATCAAATCAAGCCAGGAAGAGCAGAAAGCCATGGGAAGCTTTGAGTCAGGGAGGGTTGTGGTTGGATGTGTGTGTAGGTGGATGGCAGAACTCTCTCCTTCCCTGAGCTCCTTTGGAGCCAGGTGAGAGCTTTCTTCCTTCCTGGGGACCAATTAGGGGATGAGCAAGCCCAGTGACTTGGGCCCTCTGTGTTATTCTGGAAAATGCAGGATTTTAAATGACATATTCCAGCAGGGGCTCTGGTTCACAATTCATATTTTAGAATCACTCCCTATCAGCACCATCAGTGATGCAGATATTGAGTCACACTTCATCTTCATATGGAGCTCTGTAAGAACAGCATTCTTTTAAAGGAGGGAGTGTGTGGATGTACCTGCTTTATTTGGTTTACCTCAAAGACAAAAAGGGGGGCTCAAAATAGAGCTTGGGCATTAGATTTTAATTGCACTGCCATTTCTCACCCCAGGAAATATTTATTAACAAAAAATAATTAGCTACACTTCAATGCTTTTAGAGATATAAGGGACTTCTAGTTTGGTTTTCTGGTTTTTTTTTTTTTTTTTGTTCTCAACCTATTTTTACTCCTCGCCTCTTGCTTAATGCTAATGAATAAAAGAGTAACTAATGGGAAAATTAACATCTTCAAGGGATGCTGAAAAATTCCAATTAAACAAACAAAATTCTATCCTATTTAAACGGAATTAAATTAGTAAATCCATAATATTGCATCCTGTACAATTATTCAGCAAACACCAACACCCTTTCTGTTTTAAACTTTTCTGGAAAGAATGATTTCCAGCCTCCAGGAACCATTGAAATATTATCTTAGAAATATAATAATAAAAATAGAATCATTCTAAATGGAATCTGAAAGTGGTTTGGGTTGGAAAGGAGGTTAAAAATCATCCAGTGCCACCTCTGCCATGGGCAGGGACACCTTCCACTGTCCCAGGCTGCTCCAAGCCCTGTCCAGCCTGGCCTTGGACACTTCCAGAGATCCAGGGGCAGCCACAGCTTCTCTGGGCAGCCTGTGCCAGATTCCCATTTCTCTTTCTCTCTAGAATGCTTTTTGCAGCAGGTGAAAGAGAATTGGCTTTGCAATCAGAGCTGTCTTGGGAATTGATGCAGCAGCCTGAGCTTTGCTTTGCCTTGAGACGTTTGTTCTTGTTCAGGAGACCTGGAAAGGGCTCAAAGAGATTTAGGGACACGTATCCAGGTGGGAAGGTGATGACACTGGAAGGTTTTTATTCAGGGAAAGGAATTAAGCTTGGGTAACCTCTCATTATGTCACCTGTGATGTGCTGTCACTCTGAGAATTAAACTGTCCTGGGCAAAGCACTGGATATTTGAAATGCAGTGGAAGGAAGACAGTTGCTAATTTAAAGACCCCCAAATATTCTTGGCTGTCTGAAGACAGGTAAAGCAAATTATTTCCCATTTTTTTAGGAGAGAACACAGGACTGGATTTGCTAGATGTTACATTTTATATTGGTCCTATACGTGATAAAAGTGATATAAGTGACACCTGTCAAATCTACACTGCTCTAGATAGAACTTGTTCGCTTTACCCTGTACTCCTTCAAAATGTCACAGCAGAAATCACTTTTGTCACACTTGCTCTTTTTAGATGTGTGGTATTTCAATTTCCTCTTGTTTTAAACTGGGCTGGCTCCTTCTCACTCAGCAAAGATGAAAATAGAGGTTTGAACAGAAGGCTTTCAAAATGATACGTCGATGTCAGTGCCTGCTTCTATATAAAAAGTCATACATGAGCATGCACCCTTGTAAACTTCCATTTAGCAATTAGCTAAGTATTTTATTTCTCATCATTTCCTCTACTATAGCAATTTATTGTGGATATTCCTTTCTAACCACTTCTTTGCATGACATGTCCATTATTAATCCTGTTCTCTTGTGATTGCAATATTTGATTTTTGCATCTTGGTTGCTTTGGGGTTTGGTTTGTTCGGGTTTTTTTTTGGGTTTTTTTTTTTTTTTTTTTTTTTTTTAACTGAA